ACTACAAAATGACGATTCACTGGGCGCGTGTGACGATGCGACCAGGATTCGTCTAGGGACGACGAGGGCTAGCAATTGTTCCACTGTACAACCGGACTGGTCAGCCAGGAACACCATGTGCACTGGGACGAGAAGCAAAGTGAGCACAGTCTCGGTGATAGAACGCCATTTGGAATAGGACAACCGGAACACAGGGCGATCAAATGTGGGCAATGGAGGACGGGAGCTGTGATACAGGTGCGATTGCCACCAAGTGGAGCATAGGAGGATAAGGGTCAATGCAGAGAGCGGAGCAAACAACCGATGTCGACTGGCCCAGTGACCCGTGAGACCGAACAGGAAACACGGGAGGAATAAGATCTGAAACGAAGAAAGAGAGTGGGGAGTGAGAGAAGAAGCAGGAAAATGAATGGAGAGAAGTAAAGACTACAACTGAAATATGTTGTCTAAAAGAAAAAAAAATTGTGCAAAAATGATCTCAAAAGATTACGGTGCTTCTGATTGGCAGAAAATAAATGCAAATGTAAACAACCCATCAGGGACATAATCAGCGTTATTCCAATGAGGCACTGCAGCACGACAGAAAAATCGTAAGAGAATCTTCGGTAATAGTACAATGGGTGGGTTTTTGTTGGATAGGCAAAAGGGCAGATGATTGTCGAATGCATGAGCAAAACAGAGTACGAAAAGACCGCTAATGGTAATGGAGCCAGTAGTGGCCCGATGGTAACATCACCACACTATCACCCCGGAGAATGTGTATTCAAATTCCACCACCATCGTCCGACTTTCCCCGTCCTGTATTATATGGCAGTCCTTTGATTGGCCCCTTCCTCTTCCTGAAAATTGAACCATTACGTAACCAATATAAGGAAAGCCGACGACAAGCAATATCTGTACATGACAAGTGTCACCAAAGACGACATTGGAACAGGTACAGTGACATGGACCATTTGGGCATTACGACCGCGACGCGAATCCAAAGAGCAAGCGTATTCTTATTATAACATGACGACCATTTTAATTCATACTTTTCTCTCGTTTATTGCTCACCGATTAGTCAAAAACCCAGGAGATGGTGAGTTGCAAAACTGAAGTCACTGTGTGCAATCGCTATTTCGTCGACCCGCGCACACTTAACATATTCCTGGTAAGTATGGAGTGCTGCAAACTCTGTGCAAAAGACCTTAGCAACCGGGAATAACTAGCACGCAAGCATTCCCGGAATTCGATCAAGTTCTAAACTAATAACAACCTGAGACGATCGAAGGAACACAAGACGAAGACATAGTAGAAAAGTTGATTGTCTCTCGGTGCGGAATGCTCCTGACTATATAGTACCCATCAGAGGCTAATTTCAGGATGAGCGACGGTAGTAGCGCATACCAAGCCTCCAAATATGGGCGGCTCTAAATCGTGCTGTTCTCGAGTTCAATTTCCTGAGGTGAGAGGCTGGTCGGATAGTAAGTGAAAACCTCATATGACATACGAAGCCATGGGAAATGCAGCAGTAAACATCGCCCCAAATACAAAACGTGTAAAATAGAACCAAAGAACTTTTATTCAATAGAAAATGATTTATCAGCGAAACACACTAGGTCGTTTTTCGACAACACAGTTAGTCACGAAGGCCCAGTGATTTCGTCATTTATCAGTAAATCCCAACTTATAAAATGAAACTTGAGGCACACGAAGAGCAACGAGTATAAAATGCAGTGAACCGACGGATATGAAGGAAGAAGAGGCGTGATCTGGTCGAAAATGCTCGAAGTCAAAACGACTGCGAACTGTACCGAAATCATAAGGCGTGCGACAAACAAGACACATTCAGAAAAACCTATGAATACCTTCGCCATTTGAGTGGATATGCATAGCACATACAATTCAAAGGCTGGTTATAACGATTCTAAATAGTTCTTGTGAACAGCACAAAATTATCCGAAGAAAGAATGAACAACCACTTTTGAGGATCTATGGAAAAGCCCGTCTTTTGCGGCTGGGAAAATGCAGTTAACATCACCCATTAATTCAGCTCACCTGAGATAATGCGTACTGGTAATAATTATTATTGATATAAAAATGTGCAAATGTGTGAAATATGTATGTAAAAAGATCAATAATTTAGTATATGATGTGTTGTATACCTTTATAACATGGGACGTTTTTCTTTTCATAAGGAGTATTGTACTATGATTTGTTTGGCACACAGTCTGGTCTCAGACAAGTTTGAAATATAATATGTACCTTTAAAAGTAAATTACTGAAAAATAAAGGTTTAATTCAGCGGTTCAAGGACTGGGGCAAAAGATATAAAACGAAAAAAGGTCACTTCTGATGAAAGGTTTACACAGTTAGAAAAACGGAAGAGCGTAAAAGTTCTTTAAGTATGAGAATGATCTATTAAGAACAGAATGAAAACCACAGAACCCATGCCAGCATTACCAATCTTAAAAAATTTCTTGGTGCTGCACTACCACACAATTAATCATGACCACTGCACGTTCAGAACACATTCCGTAAAGTTGGAAAGCTTTCATATCTCTCACTCCGATTAAGAATACTATCTGTTCCCAACAAGTTGATTCTTAGGTCTGTGAATGCATGCGTGCTCCCTCACTGGTTGTACTGCCCCCTCCTCACCCCCGTGGTTCTTCTCGGTAAGTTGAAAAAAATACTTATATTTACTGGTGAGATCTCTAAAACACATACCTAAATGTACTGGGATAGCCAAAGATAAACTCTATCACAGACAGACATCCACAAATATGTGAAAATTCCATTGCCAAAATACTCTCAGACACTTGTCACCCATTACACAACGAATTTTCAAAAGATGTGTTTACGCCATCCACAAGCCCAAGGTTCAAACTTTCGTTTACACGTACCTCTTCATATCGTAATTCTGTTTTGCCATATCTCGCACGTCTACTTGCTGACAGGGAGAAAGTTTCCACAGAAATACGTAATTGCTTGATTCATTGACAAAGACGAGATCTACAGATTTCAGTTTTATTTTATGACTTTTCAAATTTTCATCCACAAACATGGTGTAAAATGCTGAAATTTCGCCCATCCGGGTGCATAAAGTTTACACTAACTTGACTTGAACCACGCCAGTAGTTTTGACATCGGAAATGACACTCACTATATTTAATTGGAAATAGGTAAAAAGAGAATGTGCTCTCCGATTAAAAATAAGCGATGTGCCGATCTGCCTCCGGGAAGATGTGCATACACACTAAGACGTGTGACCATTGAGTGAATGAGCTGTATTTTGATTCTACCTGATGTTAATTATAAGTGACAGGGACATGATAATCGACCCTTGTACATAGGAAGCATACCATTCTACCTATTTGTAAGTCTAATGAAGGCTATCTATATGCATCATATATATAATCAGCCAATGCTCAATACTTGCATCAATGACGCGGATTGGGAATGAACGAACTGTCAAAGAATGACATGTTAATGAGGTAAATTAGCAGACCTTGATGTCGCACAGAACCGGGCGATGATCTTGCATGAGCGTTTCGTACAGCCAAACGCTCAAGCTATTGGCTGTCAATCACGCAACTCAGGGGGTTGTTTCAACTCTTAACCGAGGGTTTCGTAAGGGACAAACAGCACACGTTAATGAGTCCATACAAGTACGGAATATCTGTACATTTCATTTGATAGTCCGTCAGTCAGTCAGGCCACTTCACAAGCACTGATGATGTCACCTCGGCTGGTGATGAAACGTTTGCAAACAAATTGCCAAGCTCGGCGAACAGGCGAAATAGAATAGTCAGTCTTGTCAAGGAGCTTACAACAAAGTTCATTTCAGGTAAATCCGTTTTTTGTATCACAAAGAAATATTACTCTTCTTCTATGTTCACGAATCGATCCATGAGGCTTTTGAAAATAAGCAGTGATTGAGCGTCACTTAATAAAACCCACTAGCTCTTAACGAACACACAAACGTTATTCTGAGCAACATTCACGTTATCTAATATACCCTGAAATACATATTACCGACCACTTACTTGACGATGGGCATTTATCTAGTGTTAATTGTATAAATTAGGAGTTCCGTTGCATTAAAGCAAAACGCTCCAATACGCAAATTCATTCTCATCAAATATTCACAGTTTACGGTCTAAACAATAACATAATGGAATTTAATTTTTGCACTTATAAGGCAGTCTCTCTAGTTCCCCATACCCCGCTTTCCTTATTTATAAGTTGCCGGTAGAACACGCCACGTGACTGCTTGTGTCAGAATTTTCTTCTGATCACCAGTATGCCCGTTTTAAGGTCAAACAAAGTAGCTCTGGAATGCAAACTACACATCTCAAGTCTCCTTCCGTATGTGCGGAGTGCTGGCTTAACACTCAGTACAAGGCAGAAAAGCCTAACGTGATATGTGAAAAAAGCACGGATGAAATACACGGTTGCAATTTCGAGTAACTCATGTTGCATGAATTAAACGACAGATTAATGCAAAATAAATCTAGCTCAGTGTTAGTATGGACACGGAAAATTACGAGATTAAAACGGCCTACCTAAGGATTAAGCAACACGGAGCATTTCCGTTGGGGAAATGTTCCATTAGACTTTCCAATCAGAAATCGGTCACGTGAGTGAACTCGCTTTTCACGTGACCGAATGGCACACTCACGTGAAACGAAGCGGAAATAATGCAGGCGAATTTCGAACATCAATGAGGAATGGGAGCGTGCCTATCGTTCGGATATCGAACCATGTTGAGCGGAAAAAGGAATGTGATCCCAAATCTATTTATCCTAGAATAACTCACGGCTTACTAAGCCAAAAATACCCATTAGAAGGACACGAATACACTCACGCATATAGCTACATTCGATATTTATATCACCTTTTCACGAGAAACACGGGCATTTCATTTAAGTAGTAGGAACCACTGACATCTACGGGAGCTGGCTGAAACCCCTGATTCCAAACAAACCAAGAAGAGACGTACGAACCACACCCACTCACACCTCCCTG